TACTACTACTACTACTACTACTACTACTACTACTACTACTACTACTACTACTACTACTGCTACTAGCAATAATAAATACAATATGTGTAAAGGTCTATCAGCTCCTCGGATAGTAGGTGCTATCTAACTGAAAAACTAATTGAAGCTTTTGTTGCCTTGGGCAGCATAGTAAGCAGGGAATCCTGTAGCACGTTTGGAACTACAGTCTTTTTTTTTTTTTCCCTCGGCGTCCACTTTTTGGAGTGGCTAGCCCTCAAAACCCTTGAGGTCTTATGATATTTTAATACCTAATAGGTTTTAGTGCCTTGGCTGGAGGGTCGTTAGCATGGGTAACTTGGGAAATAATAAAATATTTAAAATATCAATTAAATGAGCTCAGGAGAGTCCTTTGGAATGACCCCTCCCCCATTTCTTCCAATTTACATGAACGATTTCTCCCGTTGCACGTTTACTTAGTACCAACTTCATTTGGCCTTGACCTCCATAAAGAGGCTTATGTATATTATATATATATATATATATATATATGCATATATATTAAAAGCTACATTACTAACTTAAAAGCCTTACCCCAGGCACCTGGTCCTGGATACTGAACCCGCCTATCTTTCTGAAAGTTCCAAGAAGACCTTTCCCGGGGCAGTGTTTTTCAGGAAAAGCCGGCGAATAGCGAGGCACGTCCCAGAGTGTGGGGGCCAGGGACGACTTCCAAGGGGAAGGAGATGATTAAAGTTGTAGAGGGTAGTGGTTTCTTTTTTGGGGAGGAGGGACGGTAGAAGATCGAAGGGACCCCAGAAAAATAAAACCCCACCCTGCCTGTTCTCCGTAGCCAGCCCAAGTTCTCTCCCGATGTCCTTGACCTAAATTTTCTTCGATCGGACTGGAAAGCCAGGAGGAGAAGCCCGGAGACGGGTGACAGGTCCAGGTTAAGGGCTAGCTGGCAGGGATGAGCTAGCAAACTTGAATGGAGTGGACCGAACTGGAGGAGGGATGGAAGGGCGGTGGTGCCCTGAACACCTCCCCAGGAGGGAGGGAGAAGCCAGCTAGCTCTCCCTGTCTGCCATAGCCCCTTCGCTGTTAAGGTTAGGTATGGCTCATTTTTCTAATTCTCCCCCACCCCCCCCCCCCCCCACACACACCTTCGGGCGCCCACCCCTCTTCCGCCCCTCCTCAGCTATCCCTGTCCTTGAGATCCTGAGACCTCGGGGAGCTTTTCTCCAGCTCCACTCGCCTCACGCTCCAGCCCGCAGGATCCGGGGCAGGATGGGTCTTTAGGTGTTAGTGCGATCCGCGCGCGCGCGTGTCTCTGTGCGTGCATGTGTGTGTGCGTGCGTGTGTGTGTGTGTGTGTCTGTATTTATGTGTGCGTGTGCACATCTGTCCCGTCGGTCGATGTGTGTATGTGTGTGCGCGCGCGCGCGTGAGTGTGAGTGTGTGTGTGCGTGTGTGTATGTGTGTGTATGTGCGCGCGCGCTGGGATTGTTGGGGGTGGTGGGAGGAGGGCGGGAAGGGGGCCGCACCAGGCTGCGTGACGTCACCGGGATTGGTTACACGACGTTCTAGAACTCCGCCCCACGTGCGCCGGGGGAGGAGGAGGAGGAGGAGATGGGGGTGGGGAGAGGGAGGGGGTGAGGTGGGGATGGGGGGGGAGGCAGGGGAGGAGTGGGGGGGTGAGAAGGAGCTGAGCTGAGCTAAGCTGATCCCACGTGTGACGGATCTCGCTGCTTCCCCGGCTCCGTCTCTCTGTGAGATTCGGTGTAGCTCGGGAGGGGGGGAGGAGGAAAAGGAGGAGGAGGAGGAGGGAGATCTTTGGGCTTGTAGCTGGCCGCTGCTCTGCTCAGATCACTGTGGGGCTTAATTTTTTGGGGTGGGGGGGGCGGGGGGGCCTCAGATATGGAGGCAGATGGGAGCCAAGCCACCTCTGGAAGCCCTAACGACTCACAACACGACCCTGGGTAAGTTTCCCACCCCCTTCCCACCACCACCTCTCGGATTGTTCCCCTTGCAACAGAGACGACCATGCATTTTGTAGGACGTCTTCTCCCCTCTCCCCTCCTTCTTCTCCACCTCCACCCCCGTGGAAGTTCCACACCTTTGTTTGATTGCATTTCGCTGTAACCTTCCCCCCCACCCCACCTCCCAGTTCTCTCCTCCCCCCCTCTTCCTTTTAGCTTTTGTAAGTTACACGTCAAAATGGCCGATCTGACATCTGTGCTCACTTCTGTTATGTTTTCTTCCTCTAGTAAAATGTTTATCGGTGGTCTGAGCTGGCAAACCTCACCAGGTAAGGGAGGAGGGGAGGGGGGAGATTAGGACCCCCCCCAGTCTTGGCTTCTTTATTGCTCTTTGTTATCCCAGTGCAGACCCCCCCTACCCCCCGCCATTGGATCCCCACTTCTCCTGTGCAAGGTTATTTTTTTAAATAGCAAATCCTTTCCGAGCCCTCTATTCGACCTCTATTGCTGTATTTTTCCCTGTGTGTGCAAGAAATGCAAAGAAAGAAAGAAAGAAAACACTACTTTTGGTTTTTGTCAGTGATCAAAATTTGCATTGCTTTTTCTTTCTTTTTCCACACCTTCCCTACCCCCCCCCCCGTCTCTCTCTCCACAGATAGCCTTAGAGACTATTTTAGCAAATTTGGAGAAATTAGAGAATGTATGGTCATGAGAGATCCCACCACCAAACGCTCCAGGTAAATTCATCCCCTTTGAATTTGTTTTTATTTAGAACAAAGTTAAAGTTTTATTTTGGGGGTGGTTGTGGAAGTATCAATGGGATAGAATGGGTGGTGGTATTTTGTTTTGTTTTGCTTTTCGATGAATGCCCCTACATTCCCTCTCCGGCCTCCCCCTACCCCCTTCTCAATTATTGGTGTTCGATCATATGGACTTAACTCCGAGAGATGTGTTTGCTTTATGTTATATTTTCTTCACCCCCTTTTCGCCTCTAGAATGACGTTTTGCAGCATCCACTTTGCAAATAGTTTAAACGTCTACACACGCACACACACACATACACACACACATTTCCACTTCTTCCGTGCTCCCTGTTCCCCAAGTCTTGAGCTTCTTCGTAGGAAGGTGAATCTCAATTGCCCTGCATGCTTTGGTATAAAACAAAGCATTAAGGGGAGGAGGAGGAGGAGAGGAAACGAAGGTGGCAAATGATTGGAGAGCCAGAGCAATTTCTAAGTTATATCTGCGCTCCCCCCGCCCCTGCCCCGTTCCTCCTTTGACCCTCATCCCCCCCTCCCCATTTCAGGATGGCTGGGGAGAGTAAGCGAATGGGCTGGGGGAGGGGAACAAACGGGGCGGGGTGGGAGGGAGGGAGACTTTTGCGCCCATTTCCAGGCTGGGGTTCATTCATTCTTGTCTTTTTCTTTAAAATAGCCTTTTCTTTTTCTCCCCCCACCCCTTCCTCTTTGTTTTGTTGCAGAGGCTTCGGTTTCGTCACGTTTGCGGACCCAGCAAGTGTAGATAAAGTATTAGCTCAGCCCCATCATGAGTTAGATTCGAAGACGGTATGTTTTTGTTGCTGTTCGCTCTCTTTCTGCTACGTTTCCGACTATGACAGGCTCATTTAAAGAGACAGCGTCCTTTTGCAGGATGTGTTTGGAGTTCTGTGTAGGTTGCAGGGAGAGCTGGCAAACTGGGTGCAGAAGTTCACTTTGGGGAGGGACCAACTTTTAGGCTGTGGTTTGTAAGTTTCTCAGCTGCAGTCCCGGGGGTTTGGGGGCGGCATGGGGGGTCTTTATCGGGGAGCTTATCTATACCGAGGAGTTGCTTAAAAAAAAAAAAGACCTATTGAAACTTCAAACTGGAGCAAGCAACTTTTCTTTGTCAACTAACAAGGCACATGGTGTCACCGGCGGAAGGGAGAGATTCCTTTTGGGGCGGGTTTCTGGAAGGCAGAGCCCACTTCTCCATTCAGTGGTCACTCCATGGGGAGGAAGGGAAATTTTATTTCTTGGGGATTGTTCTTTTCCTCCATGCTAGCATCTCCCCTTGAAGGGTCCAGGCCCAAGAGTGAGTTGACTCTGTGCTTTAATTCAGTTTTGGAGGGGAAGAGAATGCAGAAACTAGAATAGTCCTTCTTCGGGATTGCTTTAAAGCTTCACCTCCAGATGGTGTGATAAAGCCTTGGATTTTGAATGGATTTTTTTTTCTTGTCACATCAAAGCCTTTCAGTGTGGGTCTGGATTCTTATGTATGAATTTAAAGCCTCCTAAACCCAGAGTGGGTGAAACAAGACAAGTAGAGGTCAGGCATGAAATTGGCCCATTGTCTGAAGGGAGAAGGAAAAAGATGGTTAGGTTATAATTCCTTGGTGGAAAATAAGTTACTTTGGGTGGCTTGTTCATTTGTTTTTTAGTAGGAAAGTGGGGGGAGATGAGAAGGAAGGAGAAGTGCCCTTTAAACTGTTTTATGTATAGCAAATGATGCTGGTTACTCCACTGCCCACCATCCAGGAAAGCTTCTGATAATTTTAATATTGCTGCATCAACCAGGAGCATGAAGGTGACATTGAGATTGGATATTGGGGCGTGGATGTGCGAGATTTTATTTATCTAGGATGATGGAAAGAGCATTCAGTCTGGGGTTAGGGGCCCTGGCACAGTCACTAACTGGTTCTGTGACCTTGGGTAAGTTCCTTAACCTCATCTGAAAAAGGAGGGGTTCGGGGTAAGATCGTTTCTCCCCAGTATAAAATAGTCCTAAGACAGAATCAAACCTGGGAACAATTTCTGGGATCCTCAAATTTACTCTCCAGTTTTGACCCCCTAATCCGGATGAGAGAGACATCACTTTAGTGTGTGCCTCATCTTCCCCCTTTTAATTTCTCTACTAATTTTGCTGAACATGCATTCAGTACATCCATTCTAGTGATAATTATTTGTGGTATGATCACAGGTTTATGTGTCCAAAGAATATCATTCTTTGTACCAATTCCCCACCCTATTTCTTCCATTCCCTTAATAATATTTTGGGCTGGTTATTTTAAAGACTGTAAAAAATGAAGAAGAAAAATGTTTTGAAACAGATTTCAGGAATTTATTTTAGCCCTTTCCCCTTCCTCTCTTCTCCTCAACCCCCCCCCCCACTCCCCAAAACAAAAATGCTATTTATTTTGGGAATATGATCCAGCCTAGAGTAGGTTAGAGCTACCGTGGGTAAGAGTCAAACCTATCTGGAGTAAGATACAAATCAATTACTTTTTCCACTCATTCATTTATTTGTAGCCATGTTTCAGTCACTGTTATTTAGTATAACATAGCATTTGACTTTGTTTCAACTCAGCGCAGGACGCGGTTGGTTTATTGACATGGAAAGGAGGATCTTGTTTACAGTTACGTTTAAAGTTTTATTTAGGTAATGGCTATTCGTTTCAAAAATAGTATCCTAGTCATTTCCTAGAGGACTTGTAGATACAGTAAGTAGAACTGTACCTAACTAACTCACGTTTTTAATTTTTTGGTAGTTTAAAAAATAGTTGACAGGGATGTGCAAAAGGTACGGATTTGCCATGTTCACCTCAGATAGCCGTCAGAGATACCTGCGGCCTGTGTAAAGTTTCCCCAGTGAAGGGGGAAAAATTGTGTTAAACCAAACTGATCTTATTATGGCCTATAGTCCCTTTGACTTGGATCCTGAGAATTGACTTTTTGGAAATTAACATTGCAATATAATTTTTTTTGTTGGGGGGGATGGTCTTTCCCCTTTTCTGCTCACATAATCACCCCCCCCCATTCTTACCCCTCCCCAACTCCATGCCTTTCATTGTCTCTTCATTTTAGTTGTTTTTTTTTGAGAGTATAACTTTAATTTTTGCATTTTGATGTGACATTCTGAAACCAGTTTTTTTTTTTAAACTGGTTCTTTCTTTGAATGAGTACGTACCTGTCTTACATTTTGTTCAGCAGAATGGAAAATCCACACCTGTTGTATTTCTCTTGTAGACAAATATCTAGTCGTTATGGATCTGTTGGTAGATAGATTTGTCATTTAATCTTTATGAAAGGATAGTTTTTTAGAAAAAAAATTTTTTTTGCTTAAAAAAAAAACCCACCCATAATCTCTCATTTCTCAGGTATGTACTGTAAAACAGGGAATATAAACTAGAACCTGGCTTACTTTTAGTAGAGTTTTTAAAACATTTTAATAGAGTAGTTTAGGTAAGTGGAGTTTTGTAACATTTAAACTATTACTAGGTGAGCATCATGTTATATCACTACCAAGGTGAGGTGAGTCAGTGAAAAAAGAAACTGAATTGCTCTTTTTCTTGGGGGGGGGCAAAAATTCCTTGCTAAAGTTTTGCCTTTTTTTTTTCTTTTTTGGCAGAACTGAATCAGATTCAGACTTAAATTTTAAAAAGGCAACAGTTTTCACATGAGAGCCAAAGCTTCAGAATAAGTAACTTGTAGCAGTATTCATTTCACTTTCTTATGATAAGTTTACCTAGAAATTTATGTTATTTAAAAACAGAAGGAAAATTAACAGTGGAAATGCTTTTTCCCCCTTTCCTTCTTCCCTCATCTTCAGTCTATCAGTTTAAAATCCACCCATCAAAAAAAAAAAAAGACCCAAATGGTTTTGTGGGAACTTTCTATAGTTGAAAAAACACATCCCTATTGTGTTAGATTCCGTTATTCTCTAAGTGTCTAGTCTGCATAATCTGGGTAATTTTTTCTTAACTGAGTAGAAAAAAACTTTTGAATTTGACACCTCCCACCCCCCCAGCCCCAAGTTCAGTTTCAGATAACAGAACGAGGCCTAGTTTTTGCTATCCCTATTACTGGCTTTCTTCCTGAATTTACCTTCCGATTCGAAGAAAGGTAACTTCTTTCCACCCCACCCTCATGAAAGGATCCCTGGTTTTTAAATGCCAGGTGTGTTTACCTGGTGTGCTGTTTTAAATGTTTGTTTTGTTTTCCCATGTCAGGCTTTGAAGTTGTTTTTGGACTGCTTCATCAACAGACAAGACTCATTTTTAAAAAATGCAGTTCTCTAATTTAAAAAAAATGAATAATTTGATTCACATTTCCTTGCGGATTGGCTCTTTCTTTTAGGAACCCCCCTCCATCCCTTCCTGTTTTATTTATTTAGGTGGAGGAGGGGCAGGGTATGAGAAAACACCCAGTTACCTAAAGCTGGAAGAAGCTTTAAATTTAATTTGCAGGTTATAATTTTTTTTAAAGCCCAGATAACATTCTCATCTTCTCTCCCAACAGTATGCCACAGATGAGAAAGCAGGTAGCATTTAGTGTTCAGTGTTGACTTGGGGAAAAGCCTTTGCCTAAATAATTAATAGCAAATAATATCTTGTTTATTAAGAGAATTACAATTTGGAATACCTGGTTGGTTTATGGAAAAGATCAATGTGTTCCTTACTTTTCTCCATAGTTAAGCTGGGTCAAAGTTCAGGGTACTTGTGAGTTGCCTAGGAAGATTCTAAAATGCCGATCTGGAAGCCTGAGAAATGAGTGATTCATACTTAGATGCTTTCTTGGTATTGTTCTTTTCTGTTCTTTCTTTTAAAGTGCAACATTAACTTCTTTCCCCCTCACTTTTTCCTCTTCAGATCGACCCCAAAGTTGCATTTCCTCGTCGAGCACAGCCCAAG